CACACAAGGACATAGGTAATTACCTGGTTTGCTCAATTCCAACACCATCTGGTAACCATTACTACCGTGATAACCGTGAACATGACCTCTATCAAGTTTATATAGTGGTACCCTTTGGCAGTTAATATTGACCCGTTGTATACCCACCAATAGATAGTAGCGCGAGCGCTTCGTCACTTTTCAGCCCCCTGGACCTGGAAGACGCTGATTTTGTTCCTGAGATACTACATTGCTACCATGATAACCGTGAACATGTCCTCTATCTAGTTTATATAGTGGTACCCTTTGGCAGTTAATATTGACCCGTTATATACCCACCAATAGATAGTAGCGCGAGCACTTCGTCACTTTTCAGCCCCCTGGACCTGGAAGACGCTGATTTCGTTCCTGAGATTTTACATTGCTACCATGATAACCGTGAACATGTCCTCTATCTAGTTTATATAGTGGTACCCTTTGGCAGTGAATATTGACCCGTTATATACCCACCAATAGATAGTAGCGCGAGCGCTTCGTCACTTTTCAGCCCCCTGGACCTGGAAGACGCTGATTTCGTTCCTGAGATTTTACATTGCTACCATGATAACCGTGAACATGTCCTCTATCTAGTTTATATAGTGGTACCCGTTGGCAGTTAATATTGACCCGTTATATACCCACCAATAGATAGTAGCGCGAGCGCTTCGTCACTTTTCAGCCCCTTGGACCTGGAAGACGCTGATTTCGTTCCTGAGATACTACATTGATACCGTGGTATCCGTAAACATGTCCTCTATCAAGTTTATATAGTGGTACCCTTTGGCAGTTAATATTGACCCGTTATATACCCACCAATAGATAGTAGCGCGAACGCTTCGTCACTATTCGGCCTCTGGACCTGGAAGACGCTGATTTCGTTCCTGAGATACTACATTGATACCGTGATAACCGTGAACATGTCCTCTATCTAGTTTATATAGTGGTACCCTTTGGCAGTTAATATTGACCCGTTATATACCCACCAATAGATAGTAGCGCGGGCGCGTCGTCACGTCTATGCGTTCCTGAGATAATACATTGATACTGTGGTAACCGTGAACATGACCTCTATCACGTTTATGTAGTGGTACCCTTTGGCAGTTAATATTGACCCGTTATATACCCACCAATAGATAGTAGCGCGAGCGCGTCGTCACGTCCCTGGCCCGTAATAGACGCTCTGACGTTCCTGGGATATTACATCGATGCCGTGGTAACCGTGAACATGACCTCTATCAAGTTTATATAGTGGTACCCATTGGCAGTTAATATTGACCCGTTATATAGACACCAATATATAAAGGAGCATTTAGGAGCGCGAGCGTGTCGTTACACGACATCTATAGTACACTGGTCTACCAGATAGAATTAACAATAAATACAACTGGCTTCAGCAATTTCATAAGGATGATGCTATTTAAATTGGTTGTTAATTTGCCCACAGTTACATATTAAATAAATCTTCAGTCTAACAGACTTTGAAAATAAACTGCTTTACTATTGTCTTGAAACTAGACATTACATAAATAAGGTTAACAATTCATTCTCGTACTAATTACTAGATTGATCATTAACTTAATGAACTGATGCTAAATTAATGTTTATATTAAATTATATTATGTAAGTTAATTACATCGCCTCAACTCCAGTAGCTCAACTCAGTCAAACCATAGATAAAACATACTCAAACATTGAAATAACCTATAAATAAAACGTAGTGACGCGAAATGGGTACAATAGATTCCACATTCCAGGCAGCGCGTGCTCTACTGGTGGCCTTGACTGGTGAGTACGCTGGGCCGCTCGCACGCACAGGCGCGCGCACTATTTATTGGTGAGTTATTGGCAGATTCACATCAATTCCATATGTGGGGTCCATATACGGATTCATAACTTAAGTTACCGTATGTGGGCTGAGGACTGAGTGAGGAGAGCAAACAGCTGTTTATACTCGACTTAATGCAGAATGAAATCAATTTCGTTCTGAAACTAAATAAGTTATTCAGCTCTTATTTAGGCATGTGGGGAAGGTAGGTCAGGTTTTATGCGGATTCGTGACTGTATTTAAGTTTTAGGTTTGGTTCTAGGTTAAAAGTTAGGTTAAAAGGTCAAAAGCTAGGTTAGGTTAGGTTTGGAGTAGGTTAATAATGAACCTACTCATTAATTTATGCTACCTCCAGACTGTTTTTGCACAATTGAAATAGTGGGTGAGACACAATAAAATTAACAATAAGTTAACAAAAAAATGCTTGCAAGTATTTTGGGTATTGTTATTTTAAAATGCTTGCAAGCATTCTTCATATTGTTATTATAGGCTATTGTATTTCATCCACTATTTTAATTGTGCAAAAACAGTCTGGAGGTAACTTAGCATAAATTAATGAGTCGGTTCATTAAGCATTGGGAAAGTTAGTCAAAAATTCTAACTAGTTAGAAGTTATTAGTTAGTCCCGTAAATGTACGGTAACTGATAGAAGTTATTAGTTGAAAAACTAACTAATTAAAAAAAAATAGTTTTCATAGTAAGTTAGCTATTTGTTGGGCAGTTGTTTAAAGGCTACGGCCACACGGGCGTTTTTTCACGCAAGAACGCAGCGTGAAAAAACGCAAGAAATATGAGCAGCATTAAATTAAATGAGGTATGCCATACGCAGTGTGTTTTCCCGCAGTAGCGGGCGCCTATTTGTTTCAATGCTACTCTAATTTTTCGCGTGTTTTCACGCTGCGTTTGTGCGTGAAAAAAACGCCCGTGTGGCCGTAGCCTTAGGGATTTCGTAATGACACATGTTGGTTACTAATCTATACTATAGGCTACATATGAGTAAATTTTGCGCACAATGATTAAAAAACGGCTCCTACAATTTCCTCACATTGCAATGCTATTGAGAATTGCTTATATAATACAGTTGCATTGTATGATGTATTACTAACCAAATTACGATTGTTCAAAAACATTAGGGTAAGTGTTTTACCGCAAAACATTATACACTGATATTGAACTAAAGATCTAAAGGAAAGGCCAAGGACGTTTTGTAGTTTTCGACGATGCACCGCACGAATTGATGCGTTATTACACCATCCAGTAATTATAGTTGCGACGTTCCGCGATCCCAGTGACTTATTGCAATAACGTTCAACAGATAACAGATGTTAAATGTATCATGAGTTTTATTGATTGAAGCTTATTGTAGACATTTTATAGATTGCTCATCCACATGAAAAAAGTTTGGTAGACTAAATTAAGCTAAGTGCTAAATTAAGCTAAGATAAGTGGATGTCTAACGAAAACGAATTGACTCTACAACTTAATTAATCGTGGTAAGACTGAAAATATTTGTAGGCTTATAAGCTCTATTTTTTTCTTCTTGAACAAATCAAACACCTCGAGCAAGCTCGGTCCTATGGTACTTGTGTTTTAATCAAACATTGTCACATTTTACATTACTACAACAGAAACAAATGACTTAAAACTTGTCAAATAATGAACATCAACTGAAGAAATGTTTTGACACTTGAGATGATATATCAATCACCAAACAAACATTCCCCCTTCCCACCCCTCAGTGCTTGGGGTGTGATAATGGCCGTCACTACCCTTCCACAGGCCCACTGCATTCCAAAGCAACTGGACTTTGACTTTCTCTTTCCCACCCTCCGCGTTGTTTGTCTACAATGGCGCTGACCTCTCACGGCCCCACGCAACCCTCACTGATCACGTGAAAAAAATAACCAGTATTTGAGATGCTTCCGCATAATTGTAAGGTTTAAAAATTCTAACTAGTTAAAAGTTATTAGTTAGTTAGTTTAAAAACTAACGAATAAAAAGATAGATTTAATAGAAAATCAATTCAGACAAATGGAAATTCTCTTAGTCGGCAGGTTTGCTGCATCGGGGGTATTATTTATAGATATATTTTGATAAAACTTGGCAAATATATTGATTTTAAACTAAGCTATAATTATTTTACTTAAAATCACACTTTATTAGTTTCCTTGTAGCAGCAAACCTAGGTACTTGTTAAACCTAATATTATTTAAATAGATCAATTGAAAATCAATTCAGCCAAATGGAAATTCGCTTAGACGGCAGGTTTGCTGCGGCAGGGGTATTATTATTATTGTAATGCCTCTAATCTACTTGTCTCTGTCGCCATTACTGTGTTTTAAGACGACAAACATTAAGTTTGACAAAGAGGTAGAGGAGTTTATAGATTCAACTGAATGTTGATTATGAACTACTTAGCATAACCAGTTATTATTTAGACATGTGAGGTAGGTAAGTTAGGTCAGGTGTTATGTGGATTCGTGACTGTAGATTAGGAAGGTACGTAGTTTAGTTTATAATGAATAAAATTGTTGATTTACGTTATCTCCAGACTGTTTTTGCACTTTGTAAATAGTGCTATAAACACAACAAAAAAATATTTCTAAAATGCTTGCATTTTAATGGCTTATGATCAAGTAGCCTAGCCATCTATAGGCCTTTTCTGTAGGCCTATCTTTTTAAATAGGCCATTGCCTATGCATTGAAACAAATAAATAAAAATAAAATACAACAGGCAATTAGGCTTAAATGGTTTATGTCATACTTTCAATTCCAACTCACTTCATAGACCCAGCATGCACACACAGACCCGAGATTTAATTTTCTGTGTTGTAATATTATTTTGGTTAGCCTATCAGTATTGAAATCAAATTGATTTATATGGCCAAATTAACCATAAATTACACTCTTGGCGTTAACCACAAGTCAATAATACAAGATTAGGTACCGTTTGAGTACTACCTATGTTATGTGGATTGATTTTTAATAGTTGATTGATAATCTTAGTCTCAACACAAATTTACTCAAGTTAAGGCACTGTTACAGTAAATATTGTATAGTTTTTTCTGTGGATTAATAGGCCTACCATAAGGGTCAAATAAAAAAATATTGTCTAAATTAAAAATGGAACCAGTACCAATTACTCAAATTATTACAGATGCAAGTGCCTGTGCAAGTGATGAAACCCGAGTGCATTAAACAGGAGGAAAGAAGCATGGGGCCTGGCATGTTGGCTGCTCAGCGTATGAACAATATGCATGGACGCCCACGAGGAAGACTACCGAGAACAATACATCGCCCTACACCTGCAGAACTGCCTTTGGAAGAGGCAGCAAAACGGGTAAGTCAACCAAAGGTTTGTGAGCATTTCCAAATCTGAATTAGGCTCTGTGATTTAGATGGCCGACATTTTTGTGAGTCAACTAAAAAAAAACAGAACTGCGAGTGAGTAACGGCAATATTATTCATCTCAGAAATTTTGTACTTGTTGATGTAATATCATTTAAAGAACTAAAATAAAGGTAGAGCACAATTTAAAACTCATGATAAATAAGGGTTTTCTCTTTGTAGGGTCAAGTATTGACATAATTTTTTTAACATAATAATTTTGCATACACAACCTGGATATTCCAGGTTGTATTATTCGAGATTCATTTAAGGTTGTCTTTGGATTTGATTTTTATGCATCGCTGGGTACAAGTATTAACACTTCTAAGGTTTTAAGTAGTAAGGTTTTACTACTAACAAAAGCTACTGTAATATTTGATATGGGGTCCAGTTAATAGTGTCACTCTGGGAGGCAGTCTCAGAAGTTGCTAAAATTTTGTTATGTTGGTACGAACTAGGGAAATCAACCATTGGCTTAAATCCTCAAATTGACTCATTAGCTCGAATGGCTCTTTTGCAATCCCACAATCCCATATTCCTCTAGTTCCAATGTACTAAGTATAAGGTACTTTATTTCTTTGTACAAATTGGCGGCCAATGTCTTGCAATTCTCTCATTCAGTGCTACCCTCTAGTTGTATTTCTAGCTCTGCGGTGTTCATACTGCAGGAGCTGCTCAGTCTTAAATGAACGACTCTAAAATATGAGTGGGTACAAAGTTATTGGTGTTACAGGAGATGCAGGCACTTCCCTCCAAAACACCAGTGTCTGTACTGCAGGAGCTGCTCAGTCGCAGAGGAACAACTCCAAAGTATGAGTTGGTTCAGGTGGAGGGAGCCATTCACGAGCCGACTTTCCGCTACAGGGTCACCGTCGCAGATGTCGTAGGTCAGTACAAAATAAAATGATACACTGATGTAACATCGAATAAAATTTAACTCTGAAAGTGTAAAAAATTTGTTGGTAGGGAGATGGTCTGTATTAGGCTGGTACTACATTGGAAGCAGAATTTCTGCTGTCTGACCACTGCGGTCTGAGTGTGCTGGGCAAGGGTACACTGGCACCTGTTTTAGTGCTGGAAAGGAGGAATGGGCCTGAGCTTGTCTGACACAAATCAAACTAATTTGTTTTTCATCCAGTCAGTCCCAGTCGCTTGAAAACTTTGGCCGAGGTTGATGCAGAGATTTCTAGAAAAATAGTTTTGTTGCTTAAAAACAATAATTATTATGTTGTTATTTTTTTTCAAGAACAACTGTAACTTATTTACTTTGCTAATGTTTTGTAGATATTTTAAATTTTACTAACATGCAAGTTACATTTAAATTAATTAAAATAAAGATATTCTTGACAGTAATTGTGTTCAACAAAATTAACAGATTTTTAGGATGGCTCTACACAGGCCCTGAAGTTACTTCACTTCCGAATGTTTCTATAGGTAAGAACAGAACAAGTGGGTCGCGGTGAAGGTGTAGGTCACGGTCGCAATCACCATTCATGTAAATCAAACACATTGTTGTTAACCAGGCCTAGCGTAACAAACAGTTAAGTCACGGTAGGGGTGCATCGCGCTGCCATCCAGGAGGTCTACAGCGAAACTTTTAAAAATGCTTACCGCGCGGTTTAGCTGGCTTCTTCGCTGTGATTGTTCAATTGTTTTATTAAATCTTAGGTTCAACCTATTGTTGGTGTTGTAAATCGAATGCTCCTTGTTCTTTCTCGTATGTATTATGCATCTGTTTTCTTAAATGGTGTGATGAGAAATGCAGCGGTCCAACTGAGGAGTAAGTAATTCCAGTTATAAAAGAAAAAGTTTCTGGAGTCATCCTCATGTACAAACAAAATCGATCAGGGTCGTTTGAGTTCACTGAAAACGTGGAGGTATTCGCCTAAACTGTTTCTTTTTCTATTTATTGGGTGGATTGAAAACCGCTTGTTAGGTAGACTTCCAATTATCCACCTCTTAATTGCCGCTGAGATTTCATCACTATCCGAACTTGAATCAAACAACATTGCACCAAGTATAGGATTATTTATTTTGATTATCCAATAGTCTGAGCTCCACAGACAGCGCCCGGTGACCTTCACGCTATGTGCAGTCAGCATCGACCGCGACTTAACGAGTGGGATCCTCCGCGACCTATCTCCACCGCGACTCATTTTTAGGCTACTGTTCTTAGCCTACGTGTGACAAAATGGTAGTCAAACATTTTGATCGTCATTCTGTGATAATTTTTTAATTTGTCTGAATAGGTAAGCAGGTTGCGTAGTATTTGCTTTGCCTGTGGTCTTCATTAAACTCATGAACCCACTTTCTCATGGGTGTCTTAAGTAGTAAATTGTTGTCCATTAAAAATAAATAAAAAAATTTCCTCGTTAATTTTCCAAAGTGAAAGCAATAAATAAATAATCACCAAACACAACTAGGGTAAAGGAAACTTAGCTCGTCGAGAGCAAACACACTGTATTGTGACTGTGAGACTGACAGGCCGCCGTGTAGGAGCGCCGAGCCCGGCTTCTGGTCTATTATGGTCGGTGTTGATTATAATTTGTAAAATCGGTCAGTTTTACTTTATTTGATGACGAGTGCTTTTGTGAATAATTGTGTCGTGTCAGTGTGTTTTCAGAATGTTTGATATATGTTCTTTTTCTCTAAATATAATTGTTTATGCTTTAATTTCAGCAATGGGTATCGGCCGGTCCAAAAAGGAAGCCAAGCATGCAGCAGCAAAAAATGTTTTGGACAAGTTGATTGGAAACACTGACCCTAACATGATGAATTCTATGTCCAACTCTATTAATGACCAGTTATTGTAAGTTTTTAAAACCAATTTTACCTGATTGAAGCTCTTGTTGGAAGCTAATTTAGGACCATGTCAAAGCTCAAAACAATAAAAGTTGATGTGTTGGATTAATTAATTATGATTTATGTCCGTTATTTTGTTTGGTTCTGTCATTTGCAATGACTCATTATACGTTCCTGTTTGTTAGTTGATTGTTTTAGGCTCTGCCAAAAAATATTCAATATAAAAAAAATAATTCATGCATTTTGTTTAATCCATTAGGCTATTAACAAACTTGAGAAACATGAGTGTATGTTTCATTTTAATGAAAACTTCATTTAGTAAAATTGCTTAGTCCTTAATTGAACAACAATAGTGAAAAAGTGTAACCTTGCCATGGCAGATATAAAACTGGACTTTTGACATTCCAATTAATTTTAATTGGTTTACAGTTAAATTTATTTAGAATCACTCCTATCAATCTACTCAGAGCCTACTTCATATGAATTAATTATTTGTAAAGATTAGCTCAAATAAATTTAACTTTATAATGTAATAATTTACCAGAATGCATTTTTTTAATACTTTTAATAATTAGCTAAAACTGCTATAACACTAATAAGTTTAAGTTATAATGGATATTTTGTTAAATGATATTGATATGAATAAGTAAACCTTCATTCTTAAATAATTTAGGAAAAAGAAAAAATGACCAAGTGAAAAAGGTATTATCTTGAAAATGGTTGAAATACTGATATAGAGTGGGGAAACCCCAGGAAATAGGTTCAAAGTTTGTTGATAGAGTACAGGTTTCTGACCTGTCTTTGCTGGTTTTGTTACTCAGTGGCCTTAGTCCTTTCCACCTACACCAGTTTACATGATAATAGTTCAATTTGTCTTACAGTTTCTTACAGTTTATTGTTATAGTTATAGTTTAATATTTATTTCAATTTTTAATCATATTTTGAGGGTAAGTCTGTACATTAAAATCAAATAGGCCTACTACTTTATTAACATCACACAATTCAAGCGGAGCTAGTAAAACAGGTGACATTTTTATATCACACAGTAAAATAAAATAAAATAAAATAATAATAACTAGAGGACCCATGCTGCTCTGCAGCTTTAAAATAAATATAATATCCGTGAAACAATCAAATTTATGATTTTTGATTTTTAAAAGAGTCTTTAAATTTATCGAACATCCATTATGCCAAATAGTAAATCAGTACCTTGACGAGGGTGTTTTTCCTGATAAGCTTAAGTTTGCTGAGATTAAACCGCTATTCAAAAAGGGTGATGTAAACGATCCTTCTAACTATCGTCCTATAGCAATTTTGCCATGTTTTTCAAAGATTTTTGAAAAAATTGTTAAGATTCAGCTAACAGAATTTTTGGAAAGCAATAATCTAATAAATCCGTCACAGTTTGGTTTCCGCCCAGAGCTTAGTACTGAAAAATACATAACAAAAATAATTGACTGCATTGCGGAAGCCTTGGATGGTTCGCAGAAGACTGTGGGTGTGCTGTGTGACTTATCCAAGGCTTTTGACTGTATGGATCATGATATACTTTTAGAAAAACTAAATAAGCATGGAATAAAAAACACTGAATTAAAGTGATTTGGATCCTATTTAAAAAACCGAAAACAAAGACTTATTTTGAATTGTTCAAGCCATTTTCGAGAAAATCCTTTTTTTTTTGTTATTTTATTGGTTTTTATGAAAAATCTAAATTTTGAAAAAATTACAAAAACGCCTGGAAATACCATGGATTAGTACCTACAGACCAAATTTCATCAAAATCGGACTACAGGTATGGACTGTAGCTCTGTACACATCCACACACACTCAGACATCACTTCGAAAACCACTTTTTTGGGTTCATGGGGACCCAAAACGGATACATCCACCACTCAAAACTCATACTCGAAAATTTTGACGAAAACAATACTTTCTCCATAGGCCTATACTATGAGGGGGAGAAAGTAAAATACGAATAAAGACAAAAGCAATGTCTAGGATATTGTAAATTATTTTTTGAGCTTGGTTGCTGATACATTTAATTATTATCGTTCTTGTGGTATTAAATTTTTAGATTTACCATAATTTCCTATGCGGTGAAGGCACAGTAATCTCATATTTAATAAATGTATGTTTACACGATGT